TCCATCCATCCATCCATCCACCCACCCATCCATCCATCGATCGATCGATCGATCCATCCATCCATCCATCCATCCATCCATCCATCCATCCATCCAAAAGGACCTGGGATGATGGTCCCTGCCTCTCTGACTCAATGTGATACCGAGGCAGGTTTCAGAGCCTGCTGTTGCCCTGCACATCTGGAAGTCACTAGCCTGGGACCCAAGAGGGAGCTGCAACATACAGCCATCAGGACTATAAAGTTTTATGGGCCCAGAGTCCAGGTGGCCAGACAGCCCCCAAGTTCCTCCCTGGGGAGTCCCTGGAGGAGGAAGTGGAAGTTTGAAGGTGTAGCAGGCCTCCAGAGCTGGGGGATGCTAGCAGCCGCCTGTCACCTTTCCTGGCTGCCTGTCCCTAGGACAAGAGGGCAGCACACTTTGCTCAGACTTTCTCTTGCTGTTCCCCCACAGGAAGTGCTAAGAGAACAGAGGCCAGCAGCTGTGCCCAAGGCATTGGTATGCCAGCAGCCTATTTGAAACCACTGGGGACATTTTCTAGCCCTGGGCATGAGTTCATGCCAGTTAGGCTTCAATGGCCCCAGGTCTACAAATGGGATGCCCTCCAATACACACTGTGACATGTTTATTTGGGACCTGGAAGCCTTTTTTTTTTTTTTTTCATTTTCACACTAATTCTGTGCTTAGGTTTCCAGGCCAGAAAAGCTTATTCGCAAAACTCAAACAGAGCCCATGGGGCCATGCTTGATATTCTGACCTGGGTACACATACTCAACTCGCCATAGACGGGATCCAGGTGACCTGCTTATTCTAGAAGCCGGAGAACAAAAGATGCCAGGGGCTTGAGCAGTTGCAGGCTCAGTAGGAGCGGAGCCAGGGGTGAGGCAGAGCTTGCCCGGCTGGAGTCAGCACTGGTTTCAGAGGGGCAGTAAGTCTCAGACACAAAGCCGTGTGTTCTGCCCTGCATGCGCCTCTCCGGGATGCACGGCCGAGTCACAGAAGGAGCTACTGGGGGGACCTGGAGAAATGAACTCCAGAAACGATGAGACCTGAAGAGGAGGTGCGTAGACTTGGAAGCGTCAGCGTCTCTCTGGCTGAGAGACACTCGGAAGCTCAGCTTTGCTCCGGTTACTGAAGCCCTCAAAGAGCCTTTGTTTGGGTGGAGAGTTGTGTAGAAGGGTGTTAGATCAGATGCATTTTATGCAGTTCTTTTTTTTCTTTTTTCTTTTCGAGATAGGGTTTCTCCATGCAGTTTTGGTGCCTGTCCTGGATCTCGCTCTGTAGACCAGGCTGACCTCGAACTCACAGAGATCCACCTGGCTCTGCCTCCCAAGTGCTGGGATTAAAGGCGTGCACCACTGCTGCCCGGCCTTTATGCCGCTCTTTGTAATTCCAGGATCTGACAGTCTTAGGGCTGAGGAACTGGGCAGCTTGCTTGACATGTATGAGTCTACTGGAGGTGAGAGTTGGTTGGAGACCTAACAGCTCCGGATATACTTATCTGCCTTGACTCAGTGTGTACAGATATTTGTCATGTCCCCCGCACCTCCCCCCCTCCCTGCAGGATCTTTTGTGAGATCTCATGGCTATCCATTTCTGTGAATCTTTGGGTTGAGAGAGTGACCCCAGGCAAGGACATGATGAGAATTCTTGGGAGGGTCTGAGTGTCTCCGGGCAATCGTGGGGATGATGGTATTCTAGTTTTCTTTCTGTTGCTATGATACAATACTGACCAAAAGCAACTCTTGGGAGGAAAGGATTTGTTTATCTTACACTTTCTAGTAGACTGTCCTTGAAGGAAGTCAGGGCAGGAACTCAAGTAGGAACTTGTGGAAGAAAGGTGCCTGCTGGCTTGCTTCCAGGCTCATGTTTATCTAGCTTTCTTATAACCTGGGACTACAAGACTAAGGGATGGTGCCGCCCATGGTGGGCAGGGACCTCCTACATCAGTTAAAAATCAAAACAGTCCTCTACCGACCAGCTCACATGTAGTCTGATCTGGGCACTTCTTCAACTGAGGTTCTCAGGTGAGTCTAGGCTGGGTCAGTTGACAGTTAAAATAGGCCCAAGTATTAGAAACATGAAGGATGCTGAAGAGGAAGTAGAGACTCGTGAACAAAAGAACTGGAAGATGATGTGGTTAGGAAAAAAAAAAAAAAAGGAATAAGGCCAAATGCATTCAGTAGAACAGACTCCCCAATCAACCCAAAGGTGGTCAGGCAGTGAAAAGAAAAACGGGAGCTTGAGACTGAGAACATGACCTTGTTGCTCTCCACCCCCTGCGGGAGGCCAGCTCCCACCCTTTAAAAGGGTTCCTATGCGGAGGAGAGAGGGATAAGAAACGTTTAGATAGAAAGATAGCGGAGAGGAGAAAGACAGAAACACAGGATAGC